ATTGATTGATAAAGATTAATCCACCCAAGAGGTGGCACGGGCATGAATAGCCCATAACCAGAGAAACCAGAGAAGTCATCATTGCCTGATGTTATAATGGAAGGGGACTCCTTCCAAACAGTAACACCTCTCCTCCCCTTCTCCTCACCGTCTTCCATACGCCAACAAGAGTCCTCAATGAAGGTAAGATATACATACTGTATTGTAGCTAGTACAAAAAGAGTGGTACTGTATTCGGTATAAAATGTATTTTTAAATTAATGTTTTTGGGGGTGTGGAACGGATTAATTCAATTTACATTATTTCTTATGGGGGAAATTTGTTTTGAGTTACGACCTGCCTGGGAATGGATTAAATTCATTAAGTGGAGATACACTGTACTGTAATTAGACTCTGATGATGTATGCAAACAAGCAAGACATATTGAACATTTCAGGATAGTGAGTGTGTAAACCCAGGTTTAGGTTAAAACTGTATAACATGTAACAATCCGGACAGTCCGGAGTGAGCATCACCGAGTCTTAAAATGTTACAACTTTTCAAAGAAATGTTGCCTTCTAAGAGCTGTAGCTCCAAGATAATGCTTAACTTCTACATGCAGGTGAAGCCGCATGTGGAAGTTGATCTCCATTCATGGAAATCTGTACAATGGAATGTACAGATCTCCATGCATGGAAATACATTGGAGAAAATAACCCTTTGGCCCAGCTGAGACTATTGGACAGGAAGAGAAGCACTCTGTATCATTGAAGCACAGTACTCAAGCTCCTACAACATCAAGGCACCACTTGTGAGGAAGATGGATTTATAAAATCATTTAGTATTAGGCTAAATATTATCCTTTAGGAGAAAATGAAAAACTAACGAGATGCCTTTATATCATTCCTTTATACATAAATATGTAATTTGGTAAAAAACTAAATATATATTATCTTAGCTTCAGGATATCTAAACCAGAAACATACATTCTAGATATACTTTCATAATAATTGAATATTCTTATACTGTATTATGATACATGATTATTATCAACTATTTTAACACCTGAATCCTGTTTGCCATGAACACTAAGCACCAATCTCAAAAATATTTTATAGGCCCTATGCTTAACTTTAGATCACAATAGATTATAAAATATTTATTACCTTATATGTTCTTTCTTCTCTTAAATGTTAAATTGCAAAATAATAATTACATATGGAAGCTTATTAGGATGTGATCCTGTTTTAAGACTTTGCATGCTAAGGGTGATAACATTTTGTCTTGCAGTTCTTTCATCTATTTAAATAGGTTAGCTTTACACAAATAACATTTTTACACTCAGTTAATGAAACAATAAGTGACACCTAGTATAGTAAGATGGATGATTGGCGCTTGATGAATCAATCGGGCTAAGGCATCTAACTAAATTTGTTATTACTGTATCTAGGTGTAGTCTACTAGATGAGAGCTATGCTCGTGGTGTCCCATCTTCCCAGTACTCTGTCATATGACATTTTGAAACTGTATTGATGGTCTTGGCCTCCACCACCACCTCACTTAACTTGTTCCAGCTGTCTACCACTCTGCAAGATAATTTTTTTCATTTTTGTAGCTTTGTTTCCTTAGCTTCAGTCTATGACCTCTTATTCTTGAAGATTCAATTTTCAGGAATTCTTCTGTCAATTTTCTTGATTCCTGTTATTATTTTGTATGTACAGTAGTAATCATATCACCTTTTTTTTCTATCTTCTAGCTTAGGTATATTTAACACCTTTAGCCTCTTCTCACAGCTCTTCTTTTCAGTTTCAGAAGCTATTTAATTGCATGTCTTTCCGGGTATTGATGTGCTTCTTGGAATACTGGCACCATACAACCATTTCATATTCCAATTTTGGTCTCAAGGTTGTGAACAATTTCCTTAATATTTTGCCATCAATGTATTTAAAAATGATTCTGTAGTTATAGAATAGAACTGGTTCTGTTTTACATTTATAATTTGTCCACTATCCCTTTTTCTACATTTCTTTCTGCCTTTCTCCTCACTGCTGTATAGTTGTATCTTGGTTGTTTGTACAACTAGTACAATTGAGATGAGGCCTCTTCCTGTATTCAACTAATTTTTTCTTCTTCTCTGGCCCTCTCACAATTTCTGTTAAACTAATCATGCTTTTAGTTCTGCATATCTGTTTTGGTATAAATTATTTGTGCCTTTATCATATATCTCAAAATTTGGCATACATCTCGTTTACTTTGTTGGCTAACAATTCTTTTCAATCAATTTCATCAAAGAACTTGATAAGTTCTCCATAGTGTCCTCTTTTGAAAACACGTTTTTCAACATTCATTTTACCATTCTCTTCTAGATTATAACACATTATTTATTTTATTTCCAAAAAAGGCATGGACCGTCTTATCAATGGGAGGACAGTACCGAACGTCAAATCTCTCTTCTTTCCTGGTGAATATCAAATCCAGCATTGAAGGAACTTCCTCTTCCCTCATTCTCTTGGCCTACTTAAATGTGTTACTACACGAATGTCTCCAGGATGAGGTTTATTGACTGCAAGTTCAAAATTCATTTGTTCTTCCTTCATAGGCCTCCCAGGCTATTGATTTTAAGTTGAAGTCACTAAGTATCAACAATCATGATTTACCTTTATCTGCTCTTAGTCTCATGATCATTATGAGGCCCTTGCATTTGCCATCCAGCTGCTCCTCTGTGTTGTTTGCTGGTGGACCATAGGGATTTATGATTATTAGCTTATCATCCTGATTACAAATCTCCAGTGCCATTATGTCAACTCCTCATAGGTTGTCAGTTATTAATTCTGTTACTTCAGGTGGTTTCTTATCAGCACAGCAATGCCTCTGCCTTTCCTAATTTTTCTGTTATCTCCATATTGAGTAGCTCCCTGAGAATACATAATTTAAAATATTTTCAAGTTTTGTTTCCATTAGTGCAACAATATCTGGCATCTTAAGCTGTATTATATCATTTATCTCCAGTATTTTTTCTCTCTCTTTCCCCTTGTGTTAGTATATACAATTTTCAATAACATTTTTCCCCTCTTTCTTTGTCCTTTACTCCCCCTTCCTCTAATGATTTTGTTGGTTTGCTTTTTTTGTACAATTTCACAGGCTTCCCAATCCTTATCCCCTTGTAAAAAAATAATTGATTTCCTCTTCATTCCTACTTTCCTTTAAATGTTTTGCTTCAACGAGGTTGTTTCAGCTTCTGTTTTCCTGTGAAAACTCTTGCCTTAACAGCCACAATTTCCCATCCTCATCACTTTGCAATTTCCTAACATTCCTGAGTACTTTTTCCATCTGTTTTGCTCCATTTACAGTAATCCTTAAGGGTCAATATTTTATCTTATCTTACCTACCAATTCTTCTGTAGCCAGACATTATCTTTAGTTGTAAGGCCTTCCACTAACCCAACAATTTTATCTACTATTTTTACTTCTTCTGTGGCTCTTTTTTACCTAGATGTTGCTTCCTTTTCATTGAAACTAAAAATTAAGGGCTTCTATCAACTTTGTTTTATTCTAACTTTGTGTTTGATGTCAGTTCCTCTCTGATTTTCTGTCTCGTGTCTGCACTTTATTTGGTTGCTGCAGTTTCTGGCTTCCTTAATTAACCTCTTCTTAAATTTTCTCTCTGGCTGTTTATGCATAGGTTAGGTGCTTATCCTCTTTGCACTTTTCCATAGCTGTGTAACCTCTTTCATCTTTACTGACAAAAGCTTTTTTCATGAATTTCTTTGCCTAGCATCATATTCACTAACATCCCCATTAACTTCTTCAAAAGCTATTTTTAATATTTTATTTTCCACCTGCACGACTTTTCTTTTAGCTTCCCGGTGTTCTTTATCCTCAGATCATACCTTTATTTGACCTTCCAAAGCTGTTACCTTGCTACTCAAGCTTTCATTACTGCTCCTCAAGTTTCTAATTATGGCCACATGATATATTACAATATTCTCTATTTTTGCCAACTTGTGCAAACCAACTATGCTAATATTTTCCTCATCAAAGCCATCAAAATCCATCTTTTGTTTTGTCCTTCCTCATACCAGCAGCCATCTTTGTTATCGTCATCTGCAATGGTTTTGAAGGTCAACTTTATTTATTTCATTTGTTCACTCATTTTTGCATACAGTATTTGTTTTGTCATAATTATTTTTCAAATTCACTATACCTTTATGTTTCCTGGGACACCACGATCATCAACCTGTTCTACAATACTTAGGCCATTGGCTTTTCCTGGAGCTCCTTGATATGTGTTTCCTAAATCTCACTGTACTGTGTTGATCACATTGACTTGCCTTTGGGTAGGGATTCCTCAAGAAAGCTACAAGCTTCCTAGCCATAAGAGTGCAAACCCATATCCAATTTAAAAATAATGCAGCAATGAATACCTACTCAGGCATCAGAATCCTTAATAAACTATTAATTAAACTATGAATATAATTAATGTTTGCAAAAAATAATGGTTGAAGTTTGACTTACGGCTAAGTTCTCTAATCTTAAATGTTACTTAGCATGGTTGTCCCAAGAGGAATACAGTATGTATTATTATTTTTTGTATTGGCCCCTTTATAACAAAGCAGAGATCCTTAAGTTTCTATTCAACAATATCACCTTGTCTATCTCTCTCTCTTATTTTCCAATGTTTTCCCCTCTTATATTGAATAAGACACATTTATTATCCTTCATTTGCAAATAAGTATTGTAAAAATTGTTATCAAGCCTAATTACATAGTTTAGATCACCTCAGGATCCAACAATGGTTATTTAATTTCAGTACAGTTTTATAAATACATTTTTGTTAGTGATCTAATTTTGTGGAGTTTTTCCATGTACCATACATTACTAGCACCCGCATAATTTTTAAAATAGATTACACAGTTATACATGTACTAATAAAACTAACATTCTAAGTATTAGATACAAGAGCCACCCTTCAAAATTGCAAATGAGAGTACAGTATAATAGAAAAAAAAAAACTAAAATAAATATCTTGTTTGATTTTATTCTCATCTTCATTGTATTTAGTTAATTATTATAAATTATTACAAAGTTATTTTAATTCTACAAACTTGTCATTTGCAAACCCTAATCAAATTATTATTTTGAGACTATATTTACAATCAGTATACTAAGGATAGAATAACGGCAATAATTAATCCATAGTATGTAAAAAAAAATTACACTGGCACAAAGATTGTCAAACGACACAGGTGACAACCCAAGCATTATGAACAAAATGTTTAACATAATGCACCAATGTAGCACTGAAACCAACTTTTAGAAAACACATGACTAACCCATTTCAGTTCATATGTTTAATTTACATTAGCTCATACATAGTAGTCAATTAAATTTTAATATGGAATCGCTCACAAACGGCAACTTTTTGTGTGCAATACTTTGGAAAGTGATGACAATCATGTTCCATTAAAATAAAATGGTGCAACATTTTCTGAAAATGTTGCAGCAAAGAATGATTCTTTATTTATTTATTTATTTTGTCACTAAAGAACTCTTATGACCCGAGCAGGGTTCGAATCTGCATTTGGACTACATGCCAGGGGGTGAGCCCTGATAATGCAGGTTCATGGGTCGTAGAGTTCTTAAATGATTTATGGGTTGGGGCTCACTGAAGTTTTCTTTCATATATATAAAATGTGTGTGTTCAGTGTTTCCACTCTTCATATAACTGAAACAAAGCAATTGAATTATGATAATTCTTAAATTACATAAAAGTTATGAACTGATCAAACTGTTATGTCATCATATACAGTATATATACAAAATTTCAATATATTTATTGCTGTTTTGATTCTATATTTTGTAAAATTGTTCTATAAATGATAATTATTAATAGATAAAATAAATATTATAAGAATATTTATGTAATAATGCTGATGAATGATGTTTATTCCATAGATATTTTTTGATAAGAAAATTTTGATTAAGTAGAAATAAAGCAGCTACAGAAAATACAATATAATACAGAATATTAACAGTTCACAAAATCATTGGTGTATTAATGTTGTATGGATTAATGTGTATTAATGTTGTATGGATATACAAGCTATTGAGATACAGTACATGATTTAAGGAAGTGTAGGCACTATGCACATTTGATTATGTTGATATATGCAGTGATACAAATTTATTACAAATATTTTAGACCAACCTCTTAAAAATAAAATTTGAGTTTAGTGAATAACATTTTTTATTTGGTAAAAGGATTTTCTGTTAGTCATAAATACTGTCAGCAATGTAGAAAAATGCCAAGATGAGAGTAGACTGGTAAAACATTATCTACAAATAGTCTATTCTTTATCTTAGGTTTTTCCAAAATCTTAGCATATGCAGACTACCCTTGATAAGATATATATATAAATACAGCCTGTATAATGGAAAAATTATAAAATAAGGCAAGTGGATAATTTAGAAACAATGTAAGAGGGCAAAATATAGATAAATAATTTGTACAATATTTTATAACTTGATAACAAATAAAAAAAAATCCATTACGTACATTTTGGATATTTCTGATATGTAGAATGTGGTGGTGGTGGTGATTTCTGTTGTTGAGGACAGGAAGCCTGTACTCGGGCTTATCGAGGTTTCCATAGGTCAACTACTGATCTTTCCCAGGATTCAACCCCTCAACAGTTGCCCAACTCCCGAGTGCCTATTTATGACTAGGGTAACAGATTAATCTGGAGAAAGGAAATATGCCCGACCATTTGTGTCCCACCTGGGGATCAAATCCGGAATTCTCGAGTGAGAGTTGAGGTACCACTGTGCTATGGTCTATATTGCTTTGCTGAATGAAGGAAATGTGAAGAACCGTTATGAAAAAGAAGAATCTGTAATATGTGAATCCTAATTAGGTGATGGAGAGCAAAATTAAATATTAAGATGTAAAATATATATATACTGTAAGCCCAAGTGGGGGTTTATATCATTCAAATATCAGATTAATATACTGAAAAGAAGTTGAGCAATTAAATCACTGAAAATGTGGCAAATGTTTGGTGGTGGTACAGTATACTGAACTTAAAGAGGATACATTAAGAAGAAAATAAGATTGTAATAAAATAGGAAAAAAAAAAAAAAAAAAAGTACAAACAGAATTCTAAAATAAGTGAGGAACAAATATTAGTTAAATACAAATGGATCTGAATATGATCAGAACAAAAACACCAAGATATTGGTTGGAAAATGCACTGATAAATGACAATTTAACTAAGAGATGCATTTCCAACTTAAATAGCTGTAAACTCCCAAAATGACTGCTATATACTGTACTGTATAATTGTCAACTTATGATGATTTAATAATTCCCATTTTGTCTGAAAAATATTTATAAATCTACTAAAATTACTTCCAAAGTACAGTATTCTGTCTTATTTATTGATTCTAAATCTTTATACTGTATACAGAAATAATTTTTGAAGTCTTAGTTTTTTGTAGCGCAGTACTGTACTGTATAAGCAGATTTTTGTGGTACTGCACTGTGTCTGGCCAATAAATGGATGAGTGACCACATGGACAACCACACTCATTGGCTACAGGGACATAGCAAACTTTATATCCTCTACATGACAATAGTAAACAGAACAGTATATCGAGCATTGTATGTCCTACTTCCATACCATCTAGCTGTAACTACTCAGCCACTCCCAGGCTTGTGAATAGTGATGAAAGATTAAAACACAGCTGATACACAGTTATTTTTCTGGTGGGGGAATCTAACCACTTAAGTCAAATGCAACAATAAATAAGGTATTCTGATGTTCTGAAATAATAACAAAACAAGTGTACAGATGGCTCACAATTTGTGCAGTACAGTACTGGATCATGTATATTTGGAGATGTAAAGTTTAAACCCTCTTATACAAAGGGTTTAGCACTTTTTATCAAAGTGTGCAGGTAAATCTCATAGGAAGAGAATGAATTAACATGTCTTACCGTGGCTAAACCATGGATCTACGATTCTCTCAGCACTGTATTGTACATATTCTTATGTTTTATGAAACGTTTGGGTTAAATTTACGCATCAATATACATTCCAGGCAGTCTGAATTTCATTATATGCTGAATTTATGGCTGAAGAGTGGAAAGAGCTGTAAGTAATAGCATTAAAATAGGCATTTTGTTGAATAGAGTGGAAAATGTAGACTGTTAGAGGTCACTAGAACCTAGGCCTATTTATCCCATCCAGGCATGTCAAACACGCTGCCCTTTGCAAGCACCACGCAAAGGATACTGTAATACTGTACTATATTGCCATGTAATTTAGTGGATACAATATTCTGCAATAATTGTTATTAAATGACTTCAGTTAGTTGTCGTGTGTGGCCGCCATGACAACACAAATGTGACCCATATGGCCCTTGGGGGACCCCTCAGTTTGACATGCCTGCAGCATATACAGTACCTTCAATTTTGATTTAAGCATTTTTTGAGGAACATAAGCTTCCTGCATAGATCAAGGGCTACCTCCTTTACAATGCTGTAGAGTAATACTTGGTATTATTTCCCCAACATTTGATTTCTAGAAATGTTTTACTATATCAATCATTAATATACAGTACATATATGTATACCAGTTTTTTAATACAGTATATATTTTCAAGTTATTACATCAACACTTTCCCACTACACCTACTGAGTTCAACTATTCCCACAATACAGTATTAGAAAATACTCCATTATCAAGTGATAAATGGATTTATTTGGAAGGGTAAAATTTATACATAATGCATATTGCATGAAGAATTTACTAATGAAAACCAAATTAAACTAAAAAAGGTTAACCACAAAAATCACGTCCTAAGTACTGTAATGTTTTTTTGCAATACTGAAAAAAATTCAACATTGTTTTTCTCTGGTGTGGGTTTGTACCAAAATACAGCAGTCGTCATTCCCTGAATAGTTTTCTGGAAAATTCACATATGGCTTCTGATCCACGAGGCTAAACCCATCAGCAGAACATGGGTGCCAGATGGTGATGTGGAAAACAGAGCATTGAATGTAATGAAATCCCTCTTTCTGGTAGAACCCTAGTGGCTTCCTGTACAGTAGCTATCTCGCCAAGATTGATCCATACTACAAGTCAAATCAGCCACGGAAATTGTGTTTGGTCTACTTATTGAGGACCAGAGCCAGAACCTGGTGCATTCAGAAAGTCAGTGGAGCTTTACAGACAACTGTTGGGTTCACAAGACTTGAAGCCTCAAAAGTGCCAAATAACTCTTCAAATGATTCAAACAAAAGAAAACAATTTCCTTGAAACTAGTTCAAACCCGTTAGTATTAATTGCCCTCACCAGGTGGCCTTGAGCTCGGTCCTTTGCCAGCTCGCCATCCAGTTCTGCAGCAGATAAAATCACCCTAGTGAACTGATGAACCTAGAAGAGAGGGAGCGAGGAAGACAGGCAACCACTGGGGCTCCAATGCTGGGTTTCTTGGGGAGTCCCTTGGTGGTTCCCTCTGGCTAAATAACCACAGAAAAAAACTGAGGAACTTACCAGGGAAAAAAAGAGGCAGTAGGTACTACAGTAATTTGAAGAGGAGACCATCAGTCAGGAAATAGGGCCCAGGGCAACACAGGAAGGATGAGAACCAGGAACATTGATTAAATACCTGGCCACCATGGTCATGTTTGTCTGCTAAAAACCCCGAGCTCAAATATGCCCATGGATATTTGTTCATCTCATTCCCGTGGGATGGGAGCGAGATGGACCCCATAGCATCATCAAAAGGGCGAACTATGAAAGAGCTGATGCGAGCTAGGAGAAGCGATGTTCTTCTGTGATACAAAGAGCAGCACCAATGAGCAGAAGAAGAGCCCCCTAGCAGGAAGTACAACATCCTAAGAATCTGGTATCCCTGAGAGCCTATCTTAACCACAAGCAAGCATGGCCCCCAGCTCTACCAGACTGCCTGCAAGAGCAAGGAACAGAACCCAGAGTGGCCAAGAGTTGGGAAATCGAATAGCAAGACAGAGCAGCAAGCAAAGGGAATTGCACAACAATATCCTCAGGAAAGAGAGACGGAACAGGGGAGGTGGACAAAAAGGGTTAAGGACTAAGCCAAATTTGAAGACTGGGCTAGGATGAACCACTGACACAAGAGGAGTGTAAAATGCTGCCACCACCTCCTGAAGGATGGGGGCAAGCATCTTTGGCAAGGCCACTGCAGCTGGTACTGCAGGTATCGAGGCTTCCGCACCTGGAACCAAGCCAAATGAGTTCACGTCATCGTGGAGGTTATCAGCAAAAAGCTCATGAGGGTGCAAAAACACATGACCATCGCCAAGTGCACATGAGCTCTGTGATTCTCTGCAGTAAGAGCTGCAGACAGCACAGGCTGCTGAATATGAAGCTACCACCTACCCACATCCTTGGCAAGAGTAGGAGCAACAGACAGTCCATGAGCAGGGAACAAAAAGGGCCACCCAAGAACACCTAAAAAAAACATTCACCACCATATGCCACTCAAGCATACAGGAATAACAGAACCCCATGGAAAAAAATGAGGGTTGTCAGCCAGCCAGAATGAGTCTGGACCCTCATAACATAGCCAATATGGCAATGCCAACCTGAACTCAAAGGAAGTAGGGTCTATCATGGAAGCAAGGCTCAAATTTTGCAGGAGAGAAACCATAAGGTCCTCACGAGCAACAAAAGGAGAAATTCAAAAAGAGGGAAACCTCCAGCAAGATGAATCCTCAGGACCAAAATGGAAATGGACCCTGGGAAGAGCTGCAGAGATATCAAAATTATGCCTATCAGGAGGACAAGAAAACCCCTCTCCCATAAGAATATGATCCCTCTCATAATGAACAATATACCAAATAGCAATGTGCAACGAAGGCCCCAATTCAGGCTTCCTGACAGCCACAGGAGTTTGCCATGAAGGTTACATAGAAGAGTCAAAACCCTTGCCCAATGCATGGGAAAGAAAGGCATCCTCCCAAGGAGAAGGCACAGAGGAATCATGCAGTTGTAAAGAAGAAAACTACATAGCCTTGGTGGGAACCACCACGAGACATTAGGCAACACATCAGCTACAAACTGGTGAGCTGGCGGAGGACTGAGCTCTTGGCTACGCTGACTGGTACTAATGGGTTTGAGCTAGTTTCAAGTGAATTATCTGGTTTTGTTTGAATCATTTCTGGATTTGTTTGGCAGTTTTAAGGCTTCGAGTCTTGTGAATCCTGCAGTTGTCCGTAAAACTTCAATGACTTTCTGGATGCTTTCCCGATGAAATGGTGGAATGTTATTTTCTCTCTGCACCTTTGTGAGGAGCTAAGTTCTGGCTCTGGTCCTTGGTAGGCCAAACAGAACTCCAGTGAATGATGTGACTTATAGTATGGAGCATTCTTAGCGATATAGTTACAAGAAACCACCAAGGGGCTCCCCAAAAATCAAGTACTGTATCAGAAATATACCGATAATTGTTTTTTGTTTTCAAAGTTTTTATTTATAAAATAACATTTTGAGTGAAAAATAAATTTTTAATAAGCATTATTTTTCATGTTTTGATGTTGTCATGTTTAGAATCATGAGCTAGAAAAGAACGCATACTGTTTTTTCGGTGAAATTATATATAATATTACTTCAAATTTTTTTATTTATTCAAAAGTTTCTGCTATTCAACTTTTTTCTTTTAACACATTTGAAAAACCTTAGATATGAGGTCACACCAATGTTTTATTTTGATTAGTAGTGTAAAGTGCTAAAAAAAACATGAACATAAAAAATACATATACAGTATATTTTATATTGTATATTGTTAATATACAATGGGCTCAAATGGATGAAACAAAAGAACTCTCAAAATGTGGGAAAGCAAAACAGGTGAGAAACAGTCTGAGAGATTATATGATAAGCATGCATGCAATGCTGAAGTGTTACAGTATTGCTTTGTGAGAGAGAATTAGAGTCAATTTCCACCATGATAACTGGAGTAAAATTCTAGGGAAAATAAATCAATAAATATATAAATAAATATATTCAAAACAAATTTCCTTGCTGTCTCAAAAACTATTTTATCAAGAAATTAGTTGAAAAAATTACAAAAACCTAAGCCCCACAAGTCCTGATATATATTCATAATTACTTTTTGTGACTAAATTTTTGCCAGATGTATAATACTGCATAACTATTTCCTATGCTCCAAGATTATATGTACTGTACTTTTAAAATTAATAAAAATTAACGTAGAACTTATTTTAATCTATCTACATACCATGTTTCCTCCAAATTTGTTTAAATTAAGCAGTTAAATTGTAGCAAACATTAACCCCTTAAGACCTTTTGAATGTGTTAAAATTGACTACTCAACATAAAAACCAAAATCCCTATTATAAATCAGGACACAAAAATCATCTAAACTAGAAAAAACTCTTTCCCTTGTCATTCCATATATCTTTCCAATTTGAAAGTAATTACATCAAAATAAAAGCCATTCATGCACCTGCTCAATTAACATCTCTCATGCTCAAACTAGCAAATGAATTTTCTTAATGTACAAAACTCCTTTGTCTTGTAACATATTGAAGTTTCTTGGAAAATATCGTTGCTGTGATGGACAATTTGCCTTATTTCTTAATGATAAATAAAATACATACAAAAATTACATGTAACTTTAGGTTAATGCTTTTGTTCCTCGAAATGTAATGTATGATACTCCAATTCCCACCAGAGCTATAACAATGGCTAACAGTATATATGTCACAGAACAAGATTGTTCCCGGGAAGAACCATTACCATCAAGATGCTTAACTCCTTCAGCATCTGCATTACTCATGTCCATTACTTCAGAGGCATCTGATAAAACAGAAATTAAACTTAAAAAAATAATACTGTACAAATATCCAAGTTACTATTTCACTAAAATTATCAAATATTACACAAATGCTGCAAAGACATCAAAATCCAGGTTTTCTTAAGCCAAATTTGCACAGAACTTTACTTTTAATGATAAAAACTCAATGTTGAGTGTAATGAAACACCCAATTCTTTGGGCCCCTTCAGTGGCTCCCAGATTTTATGCACTGCTACCCCTGGGTCAATACCTTCACACCACACGGAGGAGGAAAGGTTTTAGGAATGATATAGCTTCACACACACACACACAAGAAAAAGTTGACAAAATACTGTAGCCAAACAAGCAAATTTCAAGAACACAAAGGTAAGGGGGAGAAACGGCAGAAAAAAAGAGAGCCACCCTAGGAACCTGGAAATGAATGTAATGAAACGTCTCTTTCTAGAGGAGCACAGGTGGCTCCATGAAGTTATTTTGCTGAGATTTATCCATATTAAAAGGTCATATCAATTGCTGAAGTTCTGCTTGATCTACAGGGGCCAGAGCCTGAAACTGGCCCCCCGTCCCTCCCTCACAAAGATACAAGGAGTGAATGACAATCTGCCACCCCACTGGAAAAAGCCTCCAGAAAGTCAGCGAAGCTTAACAAACTGGGAGTTTCACAGAAAATGTAGTCTCAAAGCTGCCAAACAACTACACAAATGATTCACACAGAACAAGGTCGGTGGAGAGAGGAAAAGATCCCACATAAGACTACCTGCTCATTGTCTGAGAGAGATGATAATCCAAAACAGCATTTGACATGTTCAGCAAGGGAGGAAGGTCAGAAAGCAGGGATTAAGTGGTCACATGAAAGCCAATACAAGGATGTGATTCATAATGCTTGCCAACTTCGACTTCACAGGAAAAAACTTTCAAAGCAGAGGAAAGAGTAAAATGACTCCACACTAATTCCTGCTCAAACACATCTTGTCCAACACAAATGCCACAGAATAGAGTGATATAAATAAAATGGTTGTGGTTATACACCAAGGCAAATAAGTTCACCCGAGGCCACATCCACCTCACAGTCCTTCTCAAAAAGGACTTTTCAAGCTCATTCAACATGCCCTGAATGAGAACCACATAGAGAATTAAATCCAGAAAATACAAAAGACAGGTTATGACCAGAGTACATTGCCACATCTGAAAAAGTGAGGACCCCCTCTGTGAACCACTGCATTGGTACAGCTTGAGGAATAATGCTGAAAGCTGTCACAGAATCAAACATAAAAAAACTAAAGACAAAAGCACCAAAACAGGATAGACCTTAAGGCCAATGAAGTGTACTAAATGAAGTCTGAAAACCGGCAGCGAGTTACCACCATATGAAACGGTTAAGCAGCTTCAATCACACCCAGCCCATGGAATACATCGTGTAAGCAAAGTTCAAATGGCCAGGTAGCTGCTTAGGTACTTGAGAGGACAGACAATACCTCTCCAGGACCAAATGAAGATGGGAGGTAAATCGACAATGGTGCACTCCAAAAGGAAAAGAGGCACCAACCTGGAGTCGCAATCAAACCCTAACCACTGGAGGCAATGGAATGGAAGACAGCCAAAACTTCAGCAAGTTCACCAAGAGCCCAAACTAACCAACCCAGCATCCTCAGCACATATCTAGAGCCAACAGACAAAACCAATAATGGGCCCTAAAGAACCAGGTGTTAAAAAAGGCCAGGAGAGGAATCCTCAGTAGCCAAAGCTCCTGTAGGATCACACAGGCAAGTCTGGAGAATGTTCTAAGATCTAGATACGTGATCCTCCGGTGAATCAAAACAAAACTTATTATTAAGGTCCAGAGAAATCAGCAAATACAGAATGTAAACATCCTCGCAATGCACAAATGCGCTGTTCAGCCAGAAAGGATATGGGATATGAACAATGACTCCTGAAGATGAGGATACAATGAGGCCTGGAATTGTCTTTCTTTGCCACTGGAAACAAACTAGACAAAACCCAAAAGGATTGCTTGATGACTATCATCCCTTGTCCAACAGTTCACTTATGTATAAAGAGTAGTAGGGTTAATGGCTACATAAAACAAAAGAACAATATATATAGTATGTGGATTTGGCATTACTCTACTTTCAACACTAACTTCTTTACTCCTTACTTTATTTTCTATGGTATCATACTTCTTGGTAAATACTATTATCTTGCTTACTCAATTATTAACCATGTATGGAATTTTATAAAATACTGTATATCAAATAAGAGCAGACGACAGGATGCAAAATGAGAGAAGATTAGCATTTAAATACTGTATAAGATTTATTATTATGGTATATAACATTTAAACATAAGTTTTATCATTATATAGGTATTTTAATCTAGTCCCCTACCACACAAGATACTATTGAGTTATATTACATTACTAGACAAAAGAGGTACTTACCAAACTGGTTTCCAGCACCACCTATCCACTAATCCACTTCAGTTATTCACTACAGTGCTCCCCATTACCTATCCACACCACCTCACACCCCCCTACAAAATCTCACAACCCTGACTGTCCTCTCCAGACAAAAGATTTTTGTTAAATTTAATGTCTATAATCTTTCGGTATATTATTCACCTTTTTGTCTCCAAATTGATGCCACCCACCCCATGGAAGTAGGAAACAAAGTTATGATAATACATTATTTCCTATTGATGGGCTCAGGAAGCTGTCACGCTTACCAATGTCCAAGACCAGCGACCAACCTTCCATATGAAGCGATTGACAACAGTTACCCAACTCTCAGGTAATTATTTACTGCTAGGTGAACAGAGAGGCAGCAATTGTAAGGGAATGTACCAAGAAGTCTTGTCTGCCTGGGGTCCAATCAGTTGTGAGTCGACTGTGTTATGTTTTATTAGTGCAGAAGACAGAATAAGCATTCTAGTCCATCAAATAAACAGACAAGCTCCACTGTAAGATTTATGTTATTTTCCCCTTGCAACTTATCACATTGATTTTATGACCAGAATGGAATACTATCATTGCATGTAGATGTCCAGTTGACAGAATTATGTCGAGAGATTCCACTGTACAGTACAGTATATCAATATACATTCACTAATCATTCAACATGCACATAAAAATCTGCTAAACTGATAAAAACACCTCACCTGCATGAGTTTCGAGAGTATCATCCACATGTTCCTTGCGAACTCGTACACCAAGTAGCTCTTTAGCCGACTGACAAGCATCAGCACAAGTGTCCCCAGGGAACAGATAATCACATAAGCTCACAGGTAGTCCACCACCTACAAGTAAATATGGTTGGAAATTTTTTAAATTGGTGTGCAAAACTTTCAGAATTAATTGCAGAAAACAATGCTAATAATAAATGCTTTGTTCCATTAAACACAGGCCACATTTCTTAAATACCAAAACTTTTGCTTTACCTATTTAACTATTATTTTAATGCATATTGCACAATAGATAACCAATACAAGAATTCTTAACTCCAGTGAATGCAAACTGATTATTACAAAAGTAAACTTTCAATAAAACAAATCCACAAGAGCCGTGACGAGGGTTCGAACCTACATCCGAGAGGATCCCAGACACGCCTTAATCGACTGAGCTACGACATGGTAAAAGAATTGCAACCAGGAAATCAACTTGACCTACCACGGATCCTGCAGTCTCTCCACAAACCAGGTTTTTTCACAATTCCCCCATGCACCCGAGCTCTGCCAATAAGCTATTCTATTATTAGTAGGTCAAGTTGACTTCCCGGTTGCAATTCTTTTACCACGTCATAGCTCAGTCAATTAAGGCGTGTCTGGGATCCTCTCAGACGTAGGTTCGAACCCTCATCACGGCCCTTACGGATTTGTTCATTTGATGCATCATGCTATTGTGATTTCTGTGTGTGTCAGATTTCAATAACTTTTCCAACATCCAAAACATGGGTCTATACTACTGTATATCCAAGTTACTTGCCATACACCACTGTAGTTTTCAGAGGCTCATTTAAGACTCTAGGCTCTAGTCAACGTGTTGCATAAATTAGACATGTAATAATTGTGGATGAAAGATCAATTAGACTATCAAAATTGGTGTGATCACATAATTATGAAATCTTAAAAATTTGTAACTATTATTCATCCTTGATAATAATTTTGCTATGAAATTTGTTAAAGGTCATTTATAGTATATATTATGTACTATACATGACTGTATAGTACATAATTGCACTTACTTGTGCTGTAAGGTTACATTTTACAGGAAGGTTACATTTACCTCCCCATTTTTGGAGGACGGCCTGATACAAACATATGATAGATACATTTAGTGTTACTGGAAAACAAAATTAGATGCTAATGTTGTCCCATCAGAGCAAGAAAATCACACAACAGTAGAGCAGAGTAAAGTACTTTTGGTCTGGGAATGCAAGACTATGAGCGAGTTCCAGGGTCAGAACCTAACTAGTAGTGCAAGGATGGCCTTCCCTTGAAATTGGGCCATTTGCATAATTTGCATTTCATTACAACCAGTATGTCCTTATATTTGTTATGTACCTACGAACCAAAATTTTCTTTGCTCAGACCTAAGAACCAAAATTTTGTTTGCTTGGCATACATTAACAAGTTTATCCACTTAGCTTACCTTCTAAAAACACTCGTCGTGGAGGTTCATGGATGATGGGACCAGTGAGATGTGATGGTGGTTCTTCTATAAGAGAATCACAATGCATCTCCCAACGAGCCATAACAGATCGCACTAGATCAACCAAAACTGCAGAACGAGCTTCTCCCACAGTTGCCTGGATTAAACAAAATGCTAATTATGCCTTTTAAAATTATTGTAAATGAACAGTAGATAAGGATTATAAGAAATCTGCTTCACCTTCCACATTCATTGGTTACAATACTGGTCAATTATTCCATTACAGTATAATCTCTTACATTAATTTAACTATTTTTCTATCTTCCTACACTAACTCTTTGGTGGTCCGGCCTCTCTGCTAGTTCCCGACCATAACTGCTCTGGGTACCTCAGGCCACTTATAGACCAATCAGCAATGTGAAAAATGTTTACAGTCATTTTATGTTTTCTTTGCTTGGCTGCCACCTATTGGTTGCTAGCTGTAACTACAGGAGATTCAAAATAATTACTGGGTGGATCATTTGCCGAGTTATTTGCTGCTTCATTTCTCTTTTCTCTGATTCTTGCAATTGTTTGTCTTGCTTCGCTTACTTTTTGGAGGTTTTGTTAGTGAAGAATGGTACAAGAATGTTGGTACAGAAGTTGGTACAAGAAGTTGGTACAAGAATGTAACAACTCTTGTATATATCTCAAAAAAAAAAAAAAAAAAAAAAAAAAAAAAAAAAAAAAAAAAAAAAAAAAAAAAAAAAAAAAAGGTGATCGTAGAAAATCTGCTTCCTGCATCTCTGTGAGAGGGAAGCAAAGTTCTGCCTCTGGCAGGTTATTAATGACTCCTGGGGCTAATGTAATTCACATGTGTAATTATCTAAGTGTAGTTACAGGATGAGAACTATGCTTATGGTGTCAGATGTTCCCAGTACTGTACTTTGTCATATGACTTTGTAACTACTGATGGTTTTGGCCTCCTACACCTTCTCATTTAATTTGTTCCAACTTCTACCATTCTGTATGCAAAGGTGAACTTCCTATTTTTTTTTTTTTTACAGCTTTCTTTCCTTAGTTTAAAACTATACCCTCTTGTTCTTGAAATTACAGTTTTCAAAAGTTATTCTTCATAAATTTTCTCGATTTCAGTTACTATTTTGCACATCGTAATCGTACCACCTCTTTCTTTTCAGCGCAATTCATAAGTTGGCAGGTACAGTTGAACCTCTGTTTTCGTATGCCTCTGTTTTCGTATTTTTCGGTTCTCATACTCAATTTCTTCAAAAAATTTGATTCGATACTCGTTGTTTGCCTCAGTTTTCGGAATTTGTTTATACATGTACAGGTCCACCGAGCGTGTGGTTCTGCTCTGCTGAGCAAGGGGCGGGACGAAGTGCCGCCCCTTGCCGAAGGACTGGTGAGGGAGACTGGATCGATGGATGGTGAGGGGGACTGGATGGATGGGTGGTGAGGGGGACTGGATGGATGGGTGGTGAGGGGGACTGGATGGATGGGTGGTGAGGGGGACTGGATGGATGGGTGGTGAGGGGGACTGGATGGATGGGTGGTGAGGGGGACTGGATGGATGGGTGGTGAGGGGGACTAGATGGATGGATTTTGGGGGGAACTGGATGGATGGATGGTAGGGGGGAACTGAATGGATGGATGGATGGAAATAATAAACAGATAAACTGGGAGCAAATAAACCAGGACTTCACAGAAATAAACTGGGAAGAACAGTTAGAAAATGCAAACCTGAACCAGTGCCTGGAAAAAATAAGCTCAGTAGCACTAGAAATATGTTCAAACCGCATACCCCTAAGAAAAAAGAGGAAGAGATGTAGATTGGAACGGGAACGTCGTTCCCTATATAGGCGAAGAAAACGAATCGCGGAACAACTTGAGAGTCGCACCCTATCTCAAGAACGGCGAAGAAGGTTAGGTAGAGAAATAGAAACAATTGAACGGAAGCTACAAGAATCATGCAAAACCCAGGAGAGGCAAAGAGAGCAAAAGGCCATCAGTGAAATAGAGAGAAATCCGAAATATTTTTTCTCCTATGCAAAATCAAGATCAAAAACCACATCTCGTATCGGGCCCCTGCGAAAAGGAGATGGAACTTTCACCGATGACAACAAAGAAATGAGCGAGCTACTGAGGAAGCAGTACGACTCTGTTTTCAGCAAGCCATTAAACACACTAAAGATTGATAACCCAAATGAATTTTTCATGGATATGATACCAACATCAAATCATATATCAGACGTCACCCTATCCCCACTGGATTTTGAAGAAGCCATAAACAGTATGCCTATGCACTCTGCACCAGGCCCGGATTCTTGGAACTCCATATTCATCAAGAACTGTAAAAAATCACTATCGCAGGCCCTCCACATTCTGTGGAGACAAAGCCTAGATACTGGCGTTATTCCTGATACACTAAAAACAGCAGAGATAGCATCACTTCATAAAGGAGGAAATAAGGCAGAGGCAAAAAATTACAGACCGATAGCACTAACATCGCACCTCATAAAATTTTTTGAGAGAGTGCTAAGAAGTAAGATCACAAAATACATGGAATCACAGCATCTCCATAACCCCGGACAACATGGTTTCAGAACAGGGCGCTCTTGCCTGTTGCAGTTGCTGGACCACTATGATATGACATTAGATGCTATGGAAGACAAACAAAACGCTGATGTAATTTACACAGATTTCGCAAAAGCTTTTGATAAATGTGACCATGGTGTTATTGCACATAAAATGCGTTCAAAAGGAATTACCAGAAAAATAGGCAGATGGATCTACAATTTCCTGACCAACAGAACCCAATGTGTAATAGTCAACAAAATCAAATCCAGCCCATCAACCGTGAAGAGCTCAGTCCCCCAGGGTACTGTGCTTGCTCCAGTACTTTTTCTCATCCTCATATCGGACATAGACAAGAACACAACCTATAGCACTGTATCCTTTGCAGATGACACTAGGATCTTCATGAGAGTAGGCAACATAGAGGACACGGCAAACCTCCAGTCAGATGTAGATCAGGTCTTTCTATGGGCTACAGAAAATAATATGGTGTTTAACGAAGATAAGTTCCAGCTCATGCGCTATGGAAAAAATGAAAATATAAAAACGGAAACCACGTACAAAACTCGGGCAAATCATAACATAGAACGAAAAGGCAATGTAAAGGATCTGGGTGTACTCATGTCGGAAGACCTTACCTTTAAAGAACACAATAAAGTAGCCGTCACAACTGCAAGAAAAATGACAGGTTGGATAACAAGAACTTTTCACACTAGAGATGCTATACCGATGATGATACTTTTCAAAATGCTTGTGCTCTCTAGAGTGGAGTACTACTGCACAATGACAGCCCCTTTCAAAGCTGGAGAAATTGCTGACCTGGAGAGCGTGCAGAGATCCTTTACTGCTAGAATACACTCAGTAAAACCTCTAAACTATTGAGACCGACTAAAGAGCCTAAAACTGTATACTCCCTTGAGCGCAGGCGGGAGAGGTATATAATAATTTACACGTGGAAAATATTAGAGGGGCTGGTCCCAAACCTGCACACAGAAGTAACATCACATGAGACCAGAAGACATGGCAGGATGTGCAGAATACCCCCGTTGAAAAGCAGAGGTGCAACAGGTACTCTGAGAGAGAACTCTATCAACATCAGAGGCCCGAGACTGTTCAACACGCTTCCACTACACATAAGGGGCATAACTGGCCGACCCCTCACAGTGTTCAAGAGAGAACTGGATAAGCACCTCCAAAGGATACCTGATCAACCAGGCTGTGACTCATACGTCAGGCTGCGAGCAGCCGCGTCCAACAGCCTGGTTGATCAGTCCGGCAACCAGGAAGCCTGGTCGACGACCGGGCCGCGGGGACGCTAAGCCCCAGAAGCACCTCAAGGTAAGGTATGGATGGATGGATGGTGGGGGGAACTGGATGGATAGATGGTGGGGGGGGGGGGGCTGGATGAATGGTGGAGGGGTGGACGGCAAAGTGGATGGACTGGCGGGAAGTACTATAATGAGATGGCTGGTAGAGCTGGTCACTCTCCCGACTACCTCCATGCCCCCCCCCCCCCCATTCCGCACCTTCCCCGCTACCTCCATCCCCCACCCCCTCATCCAGCACCCTTCCCACTACCTCCATCTTGCTCCCTCCCTGCTACATCCATCCCCTCATCCTCCCAGTCATATGGACGGTATTCATTTTTTTTATTTTTTATTTTTTTATTAATATGGTAAGTATCTTTGCTACCAGCTGATGGATCCGGAGGCAGACTCCCCGAGTGCCTGTCGTTAAACTCTTTTATTTTTAACTGACTGGTTGCGACTGTAAAAGCCTGATTGACTGTGAATGCCTGATTGAGTGTGAATGGCTGATTGACTGTGAATTCTTGACTGACTTTAAATGCCTAACTGGTTGCTACTACAACTGTGAATGCTTGACTGCCTTTGGTTATAACTACCTGTGACTGGTCTTGACTGAATGCTTGACTGACATGTTGTGACTGTAACTGATTGGTGGCTGTCACATAACAGAGGCAGTAAAATGTGTGAAAAGAAAATCTGGAACCAGTGATGAAGATATGAAAGCGTTTAAGGCAGGCATGGGACGGTCTCACCATCTCCCTCCTGCCTACCTCCTCACCCTCCCCATACACCAACACCACTCCTCCCTCATCCCCCTCCACACCATCTTCCATACGCCAACAAGAGTCCTCAGTATAGGTAAAGTGCAGTTAAATGTTCACTTATTTTATTTATGGTTTATATTTATACCCAATTGTTTTGTATATGAAAAATATGAGTATTCTGTAAAAATGTATTTTTAAGTTAATATTTCTGGGTGTGTGGAATGGATTAATTCAATTCACGTTATTTCTTATGGGAAAATTCGTTTCGGTTTTCGTATTTTTTGGTTTTCATAACGTCTCTGGGAACGAATTAAATACGAAAACTGAGGTACCACTGTATTTATATTTGCAATTATTTTCAACACGCATTTGCAATAATATGATTTATCTACAGAATACTATCAATTGCATTGACTTTTTTAAAAAGAGATCGAATCAAATATTTACAGAATGAGTATTCAATCATGGCACAAATAGGTGGAACCTTTTGTAGGCTGAAGGCAACCTTCTCCCTTTAAAGGCCACTAAGCACAGTATGGTAACTGTCAAGATCAACAAGTACAGTACTGTATATGCAAAACCTATTCAAATGCTGCAATAAGAATTATGACTCACCTTTGAGTGTACAAATGCTAGTCCAGCTAATGTTCCAGAAAGCCGCACACAACCAGAGCTTTCAGTCAACCCACGAGTTGAGGCTACAGGAGAACCAGAATCAAGAATTTCTGCTTTGAAGACTTTTGGGGGTGCTAATTCCATCATGCCTCTACTGCTCCCTTTCTTCTTAGGTTTCTCATCAGCACTTGAGTCCAATGGGTCTTCATCATTTGGGAGCTCAGAGTCAATAAGAATCAGACTTTCCTTCACATTATTTGCCCAGGGTTTGATCAAGGTCTGAGAAAATGCAGAATTATGATAAGATTATGAATAAGCATTACTTGAATTAAATTGATAATTGAGGAATACTGTATAGATATAATAATATTTGGAACAATAAATAATTATTATTTTATGGTACAGTACAGTATATACAGTATTCACCTTTAACCAAACACTAACAATATATTGACAACATACATAAATTACGAAAATGGTATAAATAAATATGCATTGCAAAAAATAAAAAAACTTATACCTGTAAACTCTTATACCCTACTAGAATGATTAATGTTATTTACTGCACTCAAGATGATGATTTGTCATGCAAGGCCTATAGTTTCATTTAGACACATGCTCTTTTAACATCAAGATGATAGCTTATTCATTGATGTAAATTTTCCTTGAAATCCTATTACCTACTATCCTGTATACTCGGGACCAAAAACCCGAAGATCATTTCCCGCAAGCACACCTAGATGAGTACTTATGTGTCAACAATTTAAATAAAATATTATATTTGCATAAACCCTCACTGACTCCATCATCTTACACACTATTTATGTTTAATATCACCACCATCATCATAACCCCGTTAATAATAACCATATTTATAGCAAATTAACAATGATAGTTAAATATCTTATGTAAGGCCTTACAAGGATTGTCTTGTAGAGAGAATGTGATGAATTGTCCTTTGGAAGCCAGAAGTTAAGGTTAATGTTGTACGAGAAACTCAACTGCTGCCATTTGATGCCTCCTCGCTGGAATTTGAGTTCAGCATTTGACTGCAGGCTGGGAGCTGATGGGCACACATCCACAGTTTTGCACATCACCCTACAACCAAGATTGCTCTTATTTAACTTTGCACTCAAAAAACAAATTTTATGAATATCTAAATATGGATAGCTGATTCTTATTATTATTAACCTTTGCATATGTATTATTGTCTAAGTCACATAAGTCGTATAAGTCAAAGCGAGCCTCTGTTCACCCACCAGTGAATTTGTACCTGGTTGTTAAATGAAATTGGCTAGTCGTATTCCAGGGAAAATTAGTATTAAGGACCTGACCGAAACACTGTGCATGCTAGTGGCTTTACAAGAATGTAAGAACTCTTGTATACTGTATACAGTATATAAACCAAATATACATAATATACATTAAACTTCCTCTATATACACATGAGGATTTGTAATATCCAACAGTAATTTTACATTTAAAGACGGCACTTTTTAAATAATTCCACTTTGTGATCCAAAATTTAAGTTTACACAATATTTTTAGTGTGCACTCATGAAATGCTCATGTGTCCAACTGGGCCCAAACACACCAATATATTTGACGCCTTCCGTAACCCAACAGTACCTGTGACAATTTGAGCTGTTTGCGCTGCACTTGTTTTATGTCTGTGTGTGCTCCTATCCATGGTTGTCTCTAATTCTCTCTCTTCTCTAGTAAATTTTTTAGCTTAAAACAATAAATTTCCATACAAAAACACACACACACACAAAACCCAGCACTGAATATAATGAAATGCCTTTTTCTGGAGAAGCCCCACTAGCTTCCTGAAGCTATCTTACAGAGATTGCTCCATACTATAGGGTCACATCTGTTGCAGAAGTTCTGTTTGATCTGCCAGGGACCAGAGCCAAAACCTGACCACCTTTCCCTAGGGGCACAGGGAGTGGGGTGACAATCTGCCACCCCACCCCACCAGAAAAGGCCCCCAGAAAGTCAGCGAAGCTTTACAGACAATTGGAGGGTTGTTGGCATCTCAAAGCATGATGCTGAAAGCACAGCAAGCTGCACATGGAGCTGCCACTTGCACATATCCGCTAAGCACCAGAGCAGACAAACAGCTCAGGAACAGAGCAAAGGAAGCCCCGCTCAGGAACACCTGAAAGACGGAATTCACCTCCTGCCAATCAAGCTTGCAGGACAAACAGAACCGGTGCAAAGTACCCAAGGAAAAGAGAGGGTTGTCAGCCAGCTAGGATCAACCTGAGATCTAATACTTCAACTAACAAGCAGAGACAGACCTGTACTCATGAGAGACTATGTCCATCATGGAAGAGGAGGTCCATACTCTGCAGAAGGTACTGAAGCAAATCTGTATGGACCATAGTAGGTGCAGTGTAGGAGGGCAGAAACTGTTGGATAAATGATGAATGCAAGGTATCTAACAAGACCCAAACGCACTACTAGCATCACCAGTCGATACGACAGCAGCAACATAACTGAGACAGGGATTCGGAAAACTTAAGAAAGTACATTATTGTACTCGTGCTGTAAAGGTGGTAAACAAGTGAAATGCACATCAGCAACAACCGATGAAAAATATATGCCACATTTAAACAAGGATCACAAAATACAGTCAAGACCAGAGCATCCAAATTCCCCTGAGAGAACTTTTGAATACAAGGAACCCATAGCATCTGAGAATGAGATTATTCAAACTAAGAAATAGGAAAAAAGAGAAGGACACTGCCAAGACCGAGGATCAAAGGTAGCTGCCTGCTACTAGCATGGCAGCTACCGCTACCGCTACTGCCACTGCTACTAAGCCGACCCCTCACAATGTTCAAGAGAGAACTGGATAAGCATATCCAAAGGATACCTGATCAACCAGGCTGTGATTCATACATCATGCTGAGAGCAGCCGTGTCCAACAGCCTGGTTGACCAGTCCAGCAACGAGGAGGCCTGGTCGACGACCGGGCCGCGGGGACGCTAAGCCCCGAAAGCACCTCAAGGTAAGGTCAAGATAAGGTAACCTACCTGGCAAATAAAAAACACACAAGGGCATGAGCATCCCGTGCCCAACAGCAAAGACAGTGACATAGCAGGGACCCCACAAAAGGAGCACTGAATGATATGCAAGCTCATTCCAGGATGGGGGGGTTTCACCAATGTTAACAATGTAGAAGAGCAGATTTCAATTAAAATATGAAATCATAAGTGAAATTCTTGAATGAATCCCAGGACAAAACATTCTCAAGAAGATATTCTCAACATGACCAAATTCAACAATGTTGAACTACTGACAAGAAAAGGCATTTGGGTAACCCAACAAAGTGCAAATCACTCACAAGAGATATGGCAACTGAATGTAGCAGAATGCCATGCAAAGCATGACTCAGTTCAAGATCAAGTCTCAAGAAACAGCAAAAGCTGTGGACAAACTTAAGAGAATGACTAGAGCTGAGGCACTAGCCAAATCAACACACAGAAGATAAGTCTGCAACACTATCCAGGAAAAATTGAAGACGCATAAACAACTGCGTAATCACACACCATGTTCTAGGGGTCTCTGCTAAGTGAAGGTAGTCTGGCTTAGTAGAGCCAGTATGAAAGTGATGAAGCCAACTAGGAATTAGCATAGCAATAACTAGTGATCTATTTGAGGTTGAGTATTATTTGGAGATGGTTTATGAAGGCAGATGAATCAATCTTCTGGAGATCATTCTCGATTAAACAGAGAAATCTCCTGTATCTTCATTCCCATTCTTAAACATTGGCAAGGGCATTTGCAAAGATCCATTCTGCATTGGAGAATGACTGTGAACCTGGTCTGGCTCTTATTTAGTCATGTAACTGAGAGAGCATGTAACATTGCACAACAGGTGCAGCAAGACTGCAAAACATTTGCCAAGTTGCAAGAACCCAACATCCTGTTTGATTGCCAAAAGCCCCATAACAGAGAGAGCATTACATTGCGTAACGGAGCAACCAAGTGGTCGATCTCAGAAATATTGTACATCGATACTAAAATTATGTTTAAAGCATAATAAATATAATGCATTACATAAACATTAATGAAAATATATATAAATGAAAAGCTAAAAACTGTTATATATTTGTACCAAGATATTTTGCCTTACTTGAATGTCTGAGTGCAAACATGAATGATAATCTTCTCAGTTCTGATTTCTGCTGTGTCTAAGAGAATTCTCGATGCTGTTTTGTGAGTCACTGTTAAAACAGAGCGAAGCTTAGACTGGCTGACTGAAGAACTGAACTCTGCTTGTGGTGTTACCACATAAATTCCAATAATGTCCAGCCCACCTGGCAGCATGCGTACAACCTAAGGATCATTTTCAGGTTAATACTGTGATCAAAATTTATTACAACAAATATTTTCAACAAATACATGCTGGGGTAAAGCAAATATTTTAGAAATACTTAAACCACAGAAAAAGATGAACAGTAAATAAATACAATTATTTTGTGATGCATAGAATAATATTCAGGAATAGTTAAATTACAGAAAACCCTCAATTAACATGTTTGTTACATTTCTACAAAACCCCCACAAATCTAAAACTGCACAAATTAATCTTAAAGGTGTACAGTACTGGGTATAAGCAAAATAGAGTTAGGTTCCAGAAACCTCCAAAAGTCCACTTTTCTGGGGGATACCCCCTTCCAGTGGTTCCCCTGAAGCTATCTTACTGAAATCGATCCATACTAAAAGGTCAAATCAGTCATGGAAGTTCTGTTTGGCCTACCGGGAGCCAGAGAGAGAACCTGGGCCCTCATAGATGATGGTAACCAAGCAGACACCTGAGGCTCTAAGGCTACTCACTGAAAGAACAGACCCCCCCAATCGCAGCCCAAACTACTGGGCTATGAGTACCAACCACAGCGTGTCATGTAAACAAGCATGCAAACCTCAACACAGCCAAAGAATGTCCTCAACATGGGCCAAAACAGAGGAATCAAGGATCCTTGAATAGCCAAATGTGACATTCTCCACCCCAAGTGACCAAGCCTCCTCAAGGGCAAACTCACAAACACATCAGAGAAGGGAACTGACTATGCAAGGAGTATGTTAGTGGATACATAGAGAAGAGACCCTAACAAGAAATGCTAACAAGATAGCAATAACCACTCCCAGAACCACAGAGGAATAGGAGCATGCCAGGACATGTCCACAAGGTCCATGGACACCATCCAAGAATCCACCTGAAAAAAAAAAAAAACAGACAAATCCGAGCAAAGCGGTCACTTGGAAGGCTGAGCAGAGAATCAGTATGTGCAGATGTGAGAGGTCAAGAATGTACCAGGAACCTCACTGAAGAGTGGCAGGGAACTCAACCAAACCTAAATCAAACCACACTATGATGACCACATGGGACCGAGGGAAAGGGACCGAGTCGATTAAGGCAGCATCTGGGATGCTCTTGGACGCAGGTTCGAATCTCTGTTAAACCTATTAAACAGAGGCTACAGAGGCTCTAATAAACGTGACTTAACATAAGCTTACCTTTCCATTTATCTTTCTTTCTTTCTTTCTTTTTCTCTCCCTTGTTTTTTCTCTTATGGTCACTTTCTTATTCCTATTACTATCCTTCTTTATTACACCTTACCTTTTGTACCTTTTGCCTTGTTTTTTCTTCCTCTAAGATTTCCTTCTCCTCACCTCTCTTTTGCCTATTTATTCCCTTCACCTCCTTCCCTCATCACAATTGACTTGAGAATGGTCCAGGACGCACTGAAATGTCGTCGTCCCTTCACTTTCTAGTATGTGGTTTAGTCAACATATTTCAGACACGTTATTGTCACTCCTCTGCAGAGGCTACAGTTAAATACTGTATTGGCACCCAGTAAATCCTCCCCGGCCAGGATACGAACCCAGGCCAAAGCTCTTGCGAAAAGGCAGGCGAGTGTTTTACCACTATGCCATGGGGACTGCTAAAAGCATAGGGAGATGGGGATGGGAGAACGGGAGTGGGGGAAGAGTAACGATGAAATGCAGTTGGCCACTATTGGAGAAGGAAAACCTCCTACCTCGAGTGAAACACTCAGTAAATGCAAACAAAAACCAGGATGTCCACAACTAATGCCCAAACATTCAGGATCCAACAGGCAAGGATCCAAGCCAAAGACACCCTCCCCTGCAGAGAAGAAAACAGTATGGATCCATTACAGGAAGCAATGGCTCAACTGTTTCCCATGTTGAAGAGGAAGAGGAGACCCCAGCAAAGACCAAAACTACATCCACAATAAATGCAGCCCAGGTCTCGAAATTTAAGCTGCCCTGTAACTCAGAGCAAGGGGTGTACAAGTGGCCCACACAAAGATGTCTGGCAGACAATGGAAGCAGCAGCAGCAAAAAGTGCACCAGCAGAAACACCAGCTGTTCCAATCCCAAAACCATAAACACAAAACAGGCTCACTCTTTGGAAACCACACATACACCAAGCCGCACACAAATGAGCAAACAAACTCAAAATAGCAGCAGCCTGTGGAGCCTCATCACTACAAAAGTAAAGAAAGAAAAACCAAAAAACATAGTCTTGGACCAAAGTAGCATACCAGCAAACCCCAATGTCACAGGTTACTGAACAAAGGGTAATACCCACCCAACAAGTGACAGAAGGAGAGAGTAAAACTAAGCATCGGTTTATAGCAAAACTGACTGACAACCTTCAAACTCGTAAGTAGCAAGTGTGGTCTCAGCAGGTCAAATCATAATGAGCCGCACCAAGAACCTGGAAAAGAATTGCCAGGGACTCTCATGTAAGGACAAAGCAAGAAACCCCGGCACTGGGGACACTCGCCAGAAAAACTGACACCAAAAGCAACCTCTGGATAAATATAGTAATAAAGGGGATCATCAGCATGCCATAGAAATAATCCCACCAGCAAACCTTCCAACAATAAACAAAGGTCTAACAAGGTCTTACAGAAAAGTCGGACACTTGCACTATCCAGGGCACAGTGGCCTGGCTTCTCAAAGAACAACTTCAAAATTCATTAGAAGTCACTTTGTCAAAGCAGGGGTAATGTATAACAACAAACTTAAGGAAGAGCTGCCCCTTCTTAAACACATATAGCTCAAAGGGAAGACAAGATGAAATCCATTCAACAAGCGAGGCTTGAAACACATGCATATGAAAGTCGGAAACAATACAAAAGCATATGGCCCCTACAGGACAGTGTCCAAAGGACTCAAGTGGCCTACACTTAACTTGAGAAGAAGTGGGATTCACTACATCCGGTGACTCAGGGGGTCTGTATACACAGACATCAGCGACAGGCTTGAGGCAAGGATGGAACTGAGATAGGGAGCTCTCGGTGGTGCTGCCAACTTGTCAGTGGCTAGTCATGACTGATGGGAAAGGATGGGGTGGGGGTTCGAGTTAATTTCTGAGTGAATTGCTTGGAAAATCGTTTGTATGTTTCAGTGCTTTATTTTCTGTGAATCTTGCAGTTGTTTATATTGCTTTGCTCATTTTCTGGATATTTTCTCAGTGATTGCAACAATTCCCTGTTTCTGGTGCCACTGTGAGTGGGCCAGGTTCTGGCTCTGAAACTCAATAGGCCATACAGGAATCTTATAACTGATGTGACATAGTAGCCATCTAAGTGACTTGTGACTTAGGAGCCATCTAAAGTGAGATAGCTTCAGGGAGCTATCAAGGACTCCTCCAGAATGTATTATAATAAACCATCACAAATATCTAGCATTACATGAGTAAATACAATAAAGTACATCAAAAATTATGCATTTTATTTTTTACTAATTTCAGCCTGTGCTATTGATCTTAGAATAAAATAATGTCTTACTTGTCTTGTGTGTTGAGATACATTTGTATCAACAACCTTGGCAATAGAATCAGGATATTTTGGTTTAGCTTGTCCAGTCTTGGAACTTGGAATTGCCTCCTCCTCTTCAGAGCTCAAATCTCCTTCATCTGGTATTGGTGTTGGGGCGAGATGAACAATGAAGTCACGGTCTTTAGCATTCTGAAATATGCAAATGCTAACCTTTTATGACCTAGAAAATTTTCCATACTGTGTTTAACATTATAGTATAAAGAATATAATAATTATTATAAATATATTATAAATATTATACAGTATTATAAAAATTGTATTATGAATATATTATAACTATTATATTATAAATATTATACAGTATAAACAAAGTGCGCCACTTTCCTATAGGGGGCAACATTCTTTAGTGATACTGTATTGTACTTGTGGATAATCAGGGATGATAATAAATCTAGCATTGAATGTAATGAGACGTCATTTTCTGGGCGAGTTCTGGAGGCTCCTCGGTGCTTACCGGGCTGATATATATGTACAGTATTAGACCGTGACATCTGTCGATGGAGTTCTTGCATCCCTGGGACCACAAGCCAGAACCTGGCCCTCTCTAGAGAGGCTAGGGGAGCAATGGCCTATGGAAAACCCCATGGATTTGGAAGCACTCCATATCTGCCATCGAGTGGGGTTAGCACCCAGAAAGGTAGGCATAACAAAACAAACCACACATGGTACAAAAACTAAATTACTGTATTACTATCCTAATACTGAACAGAGAAAAGAGCACCCCAATTCTAAAACAAGCAACCATCACACCCCACCGTTGCGTCACTCATCCACGCGACACAACGGTGGGGGTGTTTCGCGTGGATGAGGAACTGACAGAGGAACAGAACTCAGAGGAACTGACCCCTGTCAGTTCCTCTGAGAATTTTGTAGGGGATAATCCAGTCTCTCTTAACTCTTCTGGCTTCCAGTGAGGTGAAGTTTAATTCCTGTAGCCTTTCCTTACAACTCATACCTCTCAGCTCTGGGACTTGATAGTGACACAGCTCTGAATTTTTTGTCTTGTGTTTGATCAGGTATGGACTCTAGGTTCGATTTGTATACTTCAAACTGGTTTGACATATACAAGGTTCTGAAAGATTCCTATGCAAGTGTCTAAAAAGCCGTTCTTAAGTTGGCTAACCTACCATATGCTTCTGATTATATCTGTCCAATGTGGGCTTCTTGGGAAAGATTCAGTGTAATATAAACTCCCAGATCTTTCTCCCTACCTGATTCTTGAAGGATTTCATCTCCCAGGTGGTACCCTGCATTCAGCCTTCTGTTTTCTTCACTTGTTTTCATTACTTTACACTTTTTTGAGTTAAACTCTGGTAGCCAGTTATTGGACTATTCATTCTGTTTGTCTAGGTCATCTTGTAGCCTCTTGTTGTTGTCCTCTATCTTAATCCTTCTCATAATTTTAGCATCATCAGCAAACATTGAGAGGAATGAGTCTATAGTATAGACACATTCTTCTTCCAAAAGGTATAAAGACTATACCCTCTGGAAGATCCTTTACATATATCAGAAACAGGATGGTTTCAAGTACAGAACTCTGTGGGAACTTTGCTGGTGACATCTCACCATTCTGATGTCTTCCTCTCCTAGTAACTCACTGTCTTCTGTTGCTTAGATATTCCCTTATTCACTGAAGCACTTTACCCATTATTCCTGCCCACTTTTCCAACCTCTGCACTAGCCTCTTATAGGATACTGTGACAAAAGCTTTCTGACAATCCAAGCAAATGCGGCTGCCCACCCAACTCTTTCTTGCCTAATTTTTGTTGCCTGGTCATAGAATTCTATTAAACCTGTTAGGAAAGATTTACTATCCATGAACACATACTGATAGTGTGTTGGAAAGTTCCTTCTCCCCAGATGATCGTCCCCATCACCTTGCATGGAATACAAGTTAGGGACACTGGCATGCAGTTCAGTGTCCTACCTGTCATCCATATTGTATACTGGAAAACACATTAGCCATTCTCCAACTTTCAGGTAGATTTCCTGCTTCCAGTGACCTATTATACACCACGGAGAGTGGCATGCATAGTACTTTCCTGTGGTGCATCCTCCTTGTAAAATAAATACTAATATTGACATCCTTATATTTGGAATAAAAACAAATTTTATTGGAAAACATTTATAAAGTATTTGAAGAAAAAACAACATTAAGCCTAACTCCTGCAAAAATATTTAATCTCAAAACTTAAAAAAACGAATGGGTACACCTGAACGTGAATATTAGTGCATCAAGCACACACACTACAGACCTGACCAATGACCAGCCCAATCTGGAAGATGCCAGCCTTAGCTAATGCTGTCAGCTTATCCTGCAGGCTGTCTTCTGCTACCACCGTCCGCCCCATGATGTTCAAGCTTGCTCAGATAAAAGTGATGTTATCTTACAGCCCGGGCCGAGCCAAGGGTCACAGAACAACTGTCGTGATCAGCCGCCAGGGTCAGTCAACTGTTAGGATCAGTCAGCTGCCAGTGTCATTCAGCTGTCAGTGTCAGCCAGCTGCCAGAGTCAACCAGCTGTTAGGGTCTGTCAGCTGTCGGGGACTGTCAGCTCATCGCCAGCTGCTGGAAAGCTGTTTTGGAAAGGTAACTGGTGATCCTTCATTTACAGACCCTACTGACAACGACTGTATTCAAGCACAGAGTATTTAAGCTAACTGACAGTACTGTATATAATTCCCAAACACTATGCAGATGCTGGCGGCGAGAAAATATTGACATTAATATTAACGAGGCGATGACTCTCCTCCCGGCAACAAAACAATGTGCGTTCTTAAGTGAGTGAAATATTTGCCGACTTGATCTTACCAGCATTATTTTACTTTAATCATTTGTTAACCAACGAGACCAAATTTAACTTATCAAACAAAAATACAAATGTATATTTTTCGTTTAGTTTTTATAACTTGCTAACAAAATTTTCAGACAAGCTTTTTTTCTAACAAGAACTTAACAGGACTTCAAAATGATTGAAAAAGTTGCAGTTGAGAAAGTAACTCTACTAAATTACCTTCAAACATAATTAACAGAACCAAAGCATCCATTATAAAATACATTAGGCAATACATGATACGTGTAGGGAGTACAAACAATATACTCACTACACCTTCTCATTAGCTTAATGGCATAACTAATTAGCACTAATTACAGAAGCTATAATCCTTTCCCTAATTACAGGTAACAGTTCTTCCATCTTATTGGAGTGGAAACTGTATTGTTGGCTATTCGATTGATTGATAAAGATTAAGATAGAAGGATGGAAGAACTGTTACCTGTAATTAGGGAAAGGATTATAGCTACTGTAATTAGTGCTAATTAGTTATGCCATTAAGCTAATGAGCGGCTGTAGTAAATATATTGTTTGTACTCGCTACATACGGAATACATGATACAGTGTATAACACGGAACTAGTGAGTTCATACATTTTAGTTTCCAAAATATATTAGATCGTCGCTTTTAATTTTGTGTATTAAAAATGAATTATATATAAAGGGTTTCAGGTCACTAATTAAACTCTAGTAATACACTGTTAGCAGACTGTTGATAAATACAGTTAACAAATTATGTAACTGAAGCTTATCAGTGCTAAAAATTGCTAACTTACAGGACGTGTAAATGAATTGTTGGCTATAATAGTCAAAATTTCCTTAACACGTACACACACATATATATATATATATATATATATATATATATATATATATATATATATATATATATATATATATATATATATATATATATATATATATTCAGATTCAGATTCAGATGTTTATTCAGGTAAGGTATATACATACAAGTGATGTTACATTAATGGATTGATATATAGATAGAGCTAGTACATACAATGCCTAAAGCCACTATTACGCAATGCGTTTCGGGCAAGAAAAACATTAATATCTAGAACTTAATACTAATTGAGCATAAAGAATAAAAAGTGTTGAGAACAAATACAAATAAAGATAAAAAAAGGGGGAACATGACTGAAAAAGCAGCACAAATACAATAGGTTGACAAACAGTGTTGATTAAAAAAAAAGAAAATAACAGACATGGGTTGACAATAGAGGAGTGAGGTAGATTACAGGGAATTTATTAGGTAATGTTTAGTTTTTATCTTAAACTGGTTGAGCGAGGTACAGCCTTTAACATGGTTGGGAAGGTCATTCCACATTCTGGGCCCCTTGATTTGCAGAGCATTTCTAGTTTGATTAAGACGTACTCTAGGAATATCAAAACTGTATTTATTTCTGGTGTGGTGCTCATGGGTTCTGTTACAACCTTCTATGAAGCTTTTAAGATCAGGATTGGCATTATAGTTTAGCGTTTTATATATGTATAATACACATGAGAGAATGTGCAGTGACTTAATATCTAACATATTCAGAGATTTGAGTAGGGGTACCGAGTGATGTCTGGGGCCAGAGTTGGATATTGTTCTAATAGCAGCTCTGTGTTGGGTAATTAGAGGACGTAAGTGATTTTGGGTAGTAGAACCCCAAGCACAAATACCATAGTTGAGATAAGGATAGATAAGGGAGTAATAGAGAGTCACCAGGGCAGGGCGTGGTACATAATATCTGATCTTAGAAAGAATGCCCACAGTTTTTGAAACTTTTTTGATATATTTAGAATGTGTCCCTGGAAATTCAGCTTGTGGTCAATGAGAATGCCAAGGAATTTGCCATCTAATTTGTTACAAATTTGGGTATTGTTTATTTTGAGATTTATATGACTAGAGGATTTATTGCCAAACAGAATATAGAAAGTTTTGTCAATGTTAAGGGTGAGTTTGTTGGCAGTTAGCCAAAGATGGACTTAAGAACATAAGAACATAAGAACAAAGGCAACTGCAGAAGGCCTGTTGGCCCATACGAGGCAGCTCCTATTCTATAACCACCCAATCCCACTCATATACTTGTCCAACCCGTGCTTGAAACAATCGAGGGACCCCACCTCCACAATGTTACGCGGCAATTGGTTCCACAAATCAACAACCCTGTTACTGAACCAGTATTTACCCAAGTCTTTCCTAAATCTAAACTTATCCAATTTATACCCATTGTTTCGTGTTCTGTCCTGTGTTGATACTTTTAATACCCTATTAATATCCCCCCGGTTATGTCCATTCATCCACTTGTAAACCTCTATCATGTCACCCCTAACTCTTCGCCTTTCCAGTGAATGCAACTTAAGCTTTGTTAATCTTTCTTCATATGAAAGATTTCTAATTTGGGGAATTAACTTAGTCATCCTACGCTGGACACGTTCAAGTGAATTTATATCCATTCTATAATATGGCGACCAAAACTGAACTGCATAATCTAAATGGGGCCTAACTAGAGCAAGATATAGCTGAAGAACCACACCAGGTGTCTTGTTACTAACGCTGCGATTAATAAATCCAAGTGTCCGATTTGCCTTATTACGAACATTTATGCATTGATCCTTTTGTTTTAAATTCTTACTAATCATAACTCCCAGATCCCTTTCGCAATCCGACTTCGCAATCACAACACCATCTAGCTCGTATCTTGTAACTCTATCATCCTTACCTAACCTCAGAACTTTACATTTATCAGCATTAAACTGCATCTGCCAATCCTTTGACCATTTCAAAACCCTATCTAGATCAACTTGAAGTGATAGTGAGTCCTCCTCCGAATTAATTTCCCTACCGATTTTCGTATCATCGGCAAATTTGCAAATGTTGCTACTCAAACCTGAATCTAAATCATTTATATATATTATAAACAACAGAGGTCCCAGGACAGAGCCTTGAGGCACTCCACTTACAACATATTTCCACTCTGACTTGATTCCATTTATACTAACTCTCTGTTTCCTTTGGTATAGCCATGCCCTAATCCAGCTTAATATAGCACCCCCAATACCATGAGACTCTATCTTTTTAATCAGTCTTTCATGTGGCACTGTATCAAAAGCTTTGCTAAAGTCAAGGTATACAACATCGCAATCCTTACCACTATCAACTGCCTCAACAATGCTAGAATAAAAAGATAACAAATTTGTTAAACATGAACGGCCATTTATAAAACCATGTTGCGACTCAATTATTAATTTATGTTTTTCAAGATGAAGACGAATTTTATTTGCTATTATGGATTCGAGTAACTTTCCCACAATAGACGTTAGGCTAATTGGTCGATAGTTAGACGCAAGTGATCTATCTCCTTTCTTAAAAACTGGTATCACATTAGCAACTTTCCAAAACTCTGGCACTCTGCCTGACTCTATTGATTTATTAAATATGGTTGACAGTGGGTCACAAAGCTCCTCTTTGCATTCTTTAAGCACCCTGGCAAACACTTCATCCGGCCCTGGGGCTTTGTTTGGTTTGAGTTTTACTATTTGTTTAAGAACATCCTCCCTGGTAACTGTTAAACTCGTCAACCTGTCCTCGTCCCCACCCACATAGACTTGTTCGGCTGAAGGCATATTGTTAAGTTCCTCTTTAGTAAATACAGATACAAAATATTTATTAAAAATACTACTCATCTCTTCATCACTATCTGTTATTTGACCTGTCTCAGTTTTTAATGGACCTATCCTTTCCCTAGTCTTAGTACGATATAACTGAAAAAACCCTTTAGGATTTGTCTTTGCTTGCCCTGCTATGCGAACTTCATAGTTTCTTTTTGCTTTCCTTATCTCTTTTTTAACATTTCTAACCAGTTGTACGAATTCCTGTTCTAAAGTGACCTCCCCATTTTTAATCCTTTTGTACCAAGCTCTCTTTTTACCTATAAGGTTCTTCAAATTCTTTGTTATCCACTTTGGGTCATTTGTATTCGATCTATTCAATTTGTATGGTATACTACGTTCCTGTGCTTTGTTTAGAATATTCTTAAATAAGTTATATATTGAATCCACATCGAAATCCCCATTTAAGTCACCTATCGCTGGGTTCATGTCTCGCTCCAAGACCGGCCCACACCCCATACCCAAGACTTTCCAATCAATTTGACCCAAAAAATTTCTTAGGCTATTAAAATCAGCTTTTCGAAAATCTGGCACTTTAACAGAATTTTCTCCTACTGGTCTATTCCATTCTATGCTAAATCTGATTTCTTTGTGATCACTGCTCCCTAGCTCACTCCCTATTTCGATGTCATTAATTTGCGTTTCCCTGTTAGTTAACACTAAATCTAAAATATTATTTTCCCGTGTTGGTTCCTTAATGTGTTGCGTAAGAAAGCAATCGTCAATTAATTCTAGAAAATCTTCTGCTTCACTATTCCCTGTTTTGTTCAACCAGTTTATTCCGCTAAAATTAAAGTCACCCATGACATAAATACTGTTAGATCTAGATGCTCTAGATATTTCATCCCATAGGTGCTTTGCTTCCATTCTGTCTAAATTTGGTGGCCTATATATTACTCCTATTATAATATTATTTGCTTTTTCGTTTAATTCTATCCAAATAGTTTCTGTGTGTGGCTCTGTTTTGATTCCCTCTTTGAGACTACATTTCAAATTGTCCCTAACATATATGGCTACTCCCCCTCCTCGTCTAATATATCTATCTGAGTGAAATAGTTTAAATCCATATATTTGATATTCAGCTAATAGTTCTCTATTTTCTACATTCATCCACGTTTCGGTAAGTGCAATAATATCTATTTTTTCTGTGCAGACAAGAGCATTTAATTCGTTAATTTTATTTCTTAGACTTCTACTGTTAGTGTAATATACCCTAAGTGAATTGTTATTTTGCGGACCTTCTCTTTCCCTGATCATTTTGCCAATTCCTTTCTCC